GTCCGCGCCCGGGGACCCGCCAGCCAGCCGGGCTTGGGGGCGCCGGCCCCCGGAGGCGCCTGTATTATTACTATGGTTGTTACCATCCGTCCCTCGAGCTCCCCAGGCATCTTTTTGTCTCAGGCTCTGAAAACGCCCTTCGTTCGGATCAATCCGAATGACCCAAACCACAGCTGAGGGCCAGGACGCCAAGGTCGCAGGGAGAAGCCCGGAATGGGCGTAGACATAAAACAGAACCACAAACAACCCCCCCATCCCCCCCAGAAAAAAACCACCCCACGGTAGACTCACAGGGTTTCCACGATGTTTCGCGGAAGCGGAGAGCCCAGGAGCGCGCTCCCTCCCCGCCTCCTACTCCTGCCCTCGCCGCCAGCTCCTACATTTTTCTCAATGGTCGGTATTACATCTCAACACGCACAAGGGCCAAACTACATCAGCCTTTCGCAGAAATCCACGGTCGCAGAGATGCATCGGCCGGCCTATTGGAGGCCTTGGGGTGACGGTGGACAGAGGGACGTCTAGAGACAGACAGACTACACAGATGGACACTTACCTTACAGCCGCATGGGAGGTTAGAAAAAAAAAATCAAATTATCCTTCAAAATTCCAAGTGGCCAGCCAGCCTAAAAGAAATCAAGAGTATTGAGTTATAAACCTCGCAGTCTCCACCTTTCCATAAAAAAAGTCAAACGCAACGACAAAAATAAAATGTTAAGAACAGAAAATGAAGAAAGTAGCCGGCGCTGGGAACGCGCGGGGGCCCCTCTGCGATACATACAAAAGCAGACGCGGTGAGGGCCGCTCTGGCGATTTTTATTTTTAATAACAGTGGAGGCTGAGTTGGAGCTGAGGCCGGCTCTGCTCTCAAGGAGATTTGCTGAGAAAGCGCCTCTCTGGCAACTTTTTTGACGCAAACTCTCCAACCAATGGCAGGGAGAGAATGATTGACACATCTAAGCCAGAGGGAAAATAATACAAACACACAACAGGGGGAGGAAAACAGGCCGCTGCTGCACGGGGGGACGAGCAGGCAACACATCCAGGCCTCCGACATTACCAGAATGTTCTTGAAAGACACTGGGCTCGCCTAAAATATACATCATGGGCCGGAGCAAGCGAACGAACTGTATAATTAAAATGATGGACAGGAGGCCTCTCCTAGCCTTCTGCTCTTCCTCTCCCTGTCCTCCCCCCGCCTTTTGTTTTGTTTTGTTTTTGTTTTAGGGAAGGGGAGGAAGGAAACCCATCCCGTGTACGAGGGGAAGATAAAATATTTAAGTAAAGGCAGGAGAGAGTGCGGGTGGTAGGGCCTAACTGCGGTATGGGCTTCTGCGTTTAGCAGTGTGTGTGGCTCCGATGCAGAAAGCCAGTCAGACCGAAGCTTAAAAACACGCCTGTGCGTTCTCCAACGGGGTCCGACCAGGCCGGGGGAGAGAAAGGAGGCCTGCGAGCGGGGCGTAGGCGTGGAGGCAAGAGGCAGGCGGACAGACAAGTCCAAGAACAAACTATTTTCAAAAGCTCGGTGTCTCTCCCCCTCCTTACGCCTTCGTAAACAGCCCCGGGCCCCCAAGCGGGAGACCCGGGCTCCCGGGCTCCTCCAGGGTTTTTGGAGTTTTAAGAAGCCCGAGGCGGGCTACACGGAACAAGAACCCCGAATCTACCCCCAGGACCGATTTGGGGGGACCCAAGAGCCGGGTCAGGACGCGGCGTGTGAGAGCGGGGTCTGCCGGACGCCCGGGACCCGGGGAGGGAGA